GAAGCTCTTTCCACATTCAATGCATTTATAGGGCTTCTCTCCTGTGTGGATCCTTTTATGAACAGTAAGAGACGAATTTTCACTGAAGCTTTTTCCACACTTTGTGCACTTATATGGCTTCTCCCCTGTATGGATCCAGTAATGGGAAGTGAGAGAAGTACTAACAGTGAAGCACTTTCCACACTCCATGCATTTATAGGGCTTCTCTCCTGTGTGAATCCTTTTATGCGTGTAAAGATAACTGTTTGTAGAAAAACTCTTTCCACACTCCATGCATTTATAAGGCTTCTCCCTTGTGTGGGTCCTTTTATGCGTGTAAAGAGAACTGCTTTTAGAAAAACTCTTTCCACATTCCATGCATTTATAAGGCTTCTCTCCTGTGTGAATCCTTTTATGCGTGTGAAGAGAACTGTTTGTAGAAAAACTCTTTCCACATTCCATGCATTTAAAAGGCTTCTCCCCGGTATGTATCGTACTATGGTAAATAAGTAGGCACTTCTTAGTAAAGTTCTTTCCACATTCAATGCATTTATAGGGCTTCTCTCCTGTATGGATCCTTTTATGAACAACAAGAGACGAATTATCACAGAAGCTCTTTCCACACTTTGTGCACTTATATGGCTTCACCCCTGTATGGATCCAGTAATGGGAAGTAAGATAAGTACTAAAAGTGAAGCACTTTCCACACTCCATGCATTTATAGGGCTTCTCTCCTGTGTGGATCCTTTTATGGGAAACAAGACCATTGCTATGAGCAAAGGTCTTTCCACACTCCATGCATTTATAGGGCTTCTCACCTGTGTGGATCCTTTTATGGGAAGTAAGACTACTGTTCTGAGTAAAGGTCTTTCCACACTCCATGCATTTATAGGGGTTCTCACCTGTGTGGATCCTTTTATGGGAAGTAAGATTACTGTTCTGAGTAAAGCTCTTCCCACACTCCATGCATTTATAGGGTTTCTCTCCTGTATGGATCCAGTAATGCGAAGTAAGAGCAGTACTAGAAGTAAAGTTCTTTCCACACTCCATGCATTTATAGGGCTTCTCTCCTGNTCCTTTGGTTTGGGCTTGATAGTATTTATTTACATCTAATTTGTTTATGAATATCTTTATACGTTTTCCAATATATTTGTTTTTTATTTTTCCTTGTTGGGTCACTGGAGCTTTAGTTGGTGCATGAATAGAAGATGAATTGCAGTTATTTGACTGGTTTCTCTCACGGCTTTCTTCTTCCATTAGAACTGTGGTGTTCTTCGTATGGTACCCACGAGTGATCATTTGGAGTAGTTCCCAGGAATGTTCATATTCCTCCTCATTACCTTCACAGGAAAATAAAAATAAACTTTAGGAAAAAAGAGCAAAGAATAGGAAGTTTGAATATAATGAAAAAGAAATTGCTTCAATCTTCTCAGAGAAGCCCTTCAAGAATTTGATCTGGATTTTCTTGATTAAATTTTTGGAAGATAAATCTAGTGTTGTATGGCAAGGGAAAAACCATAGATTAAATTTCAAATTGTCCAAAATTCAAATAAAAGGGGAGGATTTGTTTGGCCCGATTTGAAATTAGACTTTGTAGTCTGCTGTGTCGTTTGGATGAGAAACAGAAGTTGCTCAGAATTAAGAGAATGTTATAACTAGAAGGGCATGGCAGAGGTTTGCATGTCTTGGATCTTTGTGGTATGATAAATTTAGGCTCAATCTAGATTTTAAAACCATAATGTTAGAAATACCACATTGAGAATATAAAACAGATATAAACTTAGGCTGTGTCCCAAAACATCTTAATGACTCTCTCCAGAAAAAAAGCAGGAAAAGACAGTGGATAACATGTCGAGAGCCATTAGAACTTGAGATGCGAGAATACCAAACTAAGTCAAGAATGGCAAAAGGATATAACTGTCAGTACTTTCATATTGTCAGATAGATTCCAGGTAGATGAATGTAACTACAGTGTTCAACAACATAAAGCAGAATTTGAATCTCAGTTGTGTACAAAAGATGTCTAATTGTTAAAATCTCTAAACAGGCTGAAGAATATGAACAGAAAAATATTAAAAAGTAAATAAATGTACCTCAAACTAATATTGGAAATGTAGTCAAGATAAACGATCATTTTGTCGTGCTATGGTGGACTTGTAAAAAAGCTAGAAAAGTTTGAATTCAAAGACATTCAGTGATACAGAGAACTTTAAAGATTAATATCCATCTAATCAGAATAGTTTATGTTGGCACTAATCAACAGTCATTGAAGATTGTTTCGGAATATAACCATAATGAGACTATTATGTGCAAAAAGCTGGAAGGGCTCTACATAAGTAGAATGGTGGAATTGTTGGGGAAGATGATAGAATTCTCAATGATGACTAAATTGACTCTGATTAGGCAAAGGATACTATCTATATTTATTAGTGATTGAAAATCCCTGATGGACTTTTTGCTGAAAAAAAAAATGAACTTGTGATCAAACTTGTGTTTCAAGATTAGAAAGCATAAATTATGTAAAGGAGGAAACAATGATGTAATCTTGGAAAGGAGACACCAATGATAACTTATTTATTACTTTTCTCTTTCTTTTTTTTTAATTTTACCATACTTTTTTCTTCTTCATTAATCACATTACTCTATCTTCTTTATTTCCTCTTCCAAATTTATAGTTTTTATTCTAATAAAATTTCTTGCATATTCTTACCCAAAGAGACCACATTCGTATGATTTTCCAGCATGACTTCCCGATACAGTGCTTTTTGGTCAGCATCCAGCTGAGACCACTCCTCATCGGAGAAATACACAGCCACCTCCTTAAAGGACACAAGACCCTCCTGAATGAGAAGAAAACAGAATAAAAATCAGGAGGATTTTCAAAATCTGTCATATTGTTTAAGTGATTATAAGCAAAGATATACATTTCAGGCCAATCTTATCCATGCTCAAAACTTTCATTAAAGTTGTTTGAGAGGCACCCAGGGATTTACATGGCTGTCATGAATAGACAAAAGACGTGCAAGCCCTGTTTCGGCTGCTCCTCAGATTACAAGGAATCCACTGCTTGTACCCCAACCCAATGGCTAAAGAAGAGAAAGCTACCTTGTGAAGAGCATTTCTCATCCTTTCCAAAGCTGGATTGTTTGGCCCAAAATTCCTGGCACAAATCGGGAGTATTAGAAACTCCTTTAAAGGCTGAAGGGCCTTGATCTGCCCACCCTCTTTGGATTTTAACAGTCTGCTTCATCTTTTAACCTGGTGCCAGTATTTTTCTTATCACTGGCTATAAACAAGGCGTTTTAGAAGCAGTAAGGTCCCAATGTGATTCTTTTAATTATAGAGTAGCCTTGCCCAATTCCATGGCAAAAAATTAATAATAGGATCACTATTCAGCAAACATTAAAACTGTGAAAATTTTATTTTTCATTATTCCTCTCTTACTTGAGTTGGAGTTTCAACCACTCTTTCAGCAACACCATAGAAAGGAGTCAAATTCGTTCTATTCTTCCCTGTGAGGGAGACAGAATATTTAAATTGATAATTAATAAAACAGAAGGAGGCATTCTACAGAAGAGAAGAGGTAGAGAATGTAAGACAGCTGGGACCTCTCTTGGGAATGGGTGGACTTTTGATTACCATCTGAGATGTCCTGAGTTGCAGATTTCTGATAGATCCTCCTGGAAAACAGCTCCTGGGGGGGATTGGATGGATTCCTCTTTCTCATAGGATCTCTGGTCTGCAGAGGGAAAGACTTGAAATAGAAGGCAGGAGAAAAGAAAAATAAATAAGACATCACATGAAGCGGATTCTTGTTCTCTAAAAACAACTTCAATCCCACTATGTTTATCAATGAGCCCAGAATGTACGAAAGGAATAGCTGTCTCTATTCTATCTTGTAGAATGGATAATGGAACAATGTCTTGCAAGAACTAGTGAAACATCTCCACATATTATGAAGCGCAAAGAAGTAGGGAAGGGAGGGGTGAATAATTCAAACACATTCTTTATTCCCTTCTGGACTTCCAAGGTGAAGGTCTCTCACCTGCAATTCGACTTGCTCCTTCTGCTCCTCTGCCTGACTCATGAGGAAGCCTTCCGCCAGGGCCACCGCTTGGGAGCTGGTCTCTGCTCCACACTCTCGCAACCAGTTTTCCATCTGCGAGGGCAGAAGGGCCAGGAGCTACTCCAAAACAACGAGGTCCAACATTTGGGTTTTAGTGTGCTTTTGTAACCTCAGCCATTGATTATAAAAGTTGTGGAGTCGGCTGCAAAGTCCTCGGGGACCTTCAGTCTCCTGATATTGGATGTTTCTGAAGTTCCAGGGCTGAATCTCTGAACAGATGATGGTTTTCTCCTCCAGGATCTTCTGACCAGTTCTTGCCCAGATCGTCCCACCGCTGCCAGGCTCAACAACAGAGGGGCCTTTTCAAGTTTCCTCACTTGCTAACAGTTGTTTCTGCATCCTTTGTCTGCCCTGGAAGGAAATTCCAGATAGGTCAGAGGAATCTTGCGGCTCTCCAAACACCTTTCAATTTATAGGACTATTCCGGTAGCTGCAGGACTGACCACAAAAGCTATCCAGGCTCTTCACCCAAGAGTTAACTTTTTGTTGCTAGGAAGGTTGTTGAGAGGACACTAGTTTCTGCATCTGAGATGGAAAAGAAAATAAATTCAAAGAATGAGAAGGTGGTGGACTTAACCATTGAACAAAATTCATCCTTATGGAAGCGAGTCTTTTTCTGAGCTGGGAAAGGATTGCAATAGCTTTAGCAAAAGCACTTAAGACTTATATACCGCTTCACTGTGCTTTACAGCCCTCTCTAAGCAGTTTTCAGAGTCAGCATATTGCCCCGTACAATCTGGGTCCTCATTTTACCGACCTCGGAAGGATGGAAGGCTGTCTCAACCTTGAGTCAGTGAGAGTTAAAACTGCCGAACTACTGGGAGGTGTCAATCAGCAGAAGTAGCCTACAGTACTGCATTCTAACCTCTGGGTATTTGTGTGTCTGTCTGTCCATCAACTGTGGTGAAAAATATGGTCATAGCTTCCATTAAGACATGGAATATTTTATATTGTAATATAAAATAAATTTTTATATTTGGAGGATTTTCTATTTCTTTTTCCCCCCTTATGTTATTTGAGCTATAGATAGACAGATAGATAGATAGACAGACAGACAGACAACCTTTATTGTAATTTTTTAGTGTGGGCACACTGGCACATATACCCTACACTGAAGGTTCATAAAGATGCCAGAAGTCAAGGAGCTTAAGAAACGGGAATGGAATACAGAATTTTTACACATGTTTCTTGTGCTTCATAGCAAGCCATTTAGTCATGAGACATTCATTAAGGATGTTCCCCACTCTTGTCTTTAAGATAAATAGAAAGACAGATAACTTTTATTGCCATTTTTTACTGTGGGCCCAATGGCACACATTAAAAATGAAATTCTGTTGCTTGCTCTCAAAAGTGTACACGTACATAACACACATATGAACATGCTATATACAACATATGTATATACCTACACCCTTACATATAAATATTAATCATTGTCCATCTTGAATACATAGTGGAAGGAGGAGGCTTGAGAATTCACGAGATTAATACTGTATGGGACTGTATATTTGTATGTCTGCAAATAACTGGAGCCATATAGAAAATGAGGAAGTTCCAGAAATGGCTTATCGCAAGAAAGAAAAGTTTACCTTTTGTCAGGTGTCTTAGTGAGGAAAAGGAAGAGGACCCCTAACATGGAATAATAGTGAGTGAAATGATCCTGGGAAGGAACAACATTCTAACGATGCCAGGAAGGTTGAGTTCACATCAAATGAAATGCCAAGGAAATGACCTTGGCTTAGGATGCTCAATTCCTGTTTTTCAGCGCTGTTTTTTGGGGAACAAAGTCACACTATAACACAAAGGCTGCTTCACACAATTTGCCCTGACCCCAAACTGGTTAACTAACTGTACAGGAAAATTTTACATGAAACGCAGGGCTTGAAACAACACACATGAAAATAATGTTCACCCACCCTCTTAAGCCTGGAGGATCTGATCCTAGTTTATTCTTTTCTCCAGGAGGATTTCCGGAAATCCTTCCCCTCCCCCATGCAGTGACTCTCCCAAGAAATGGGGGGGGGAAAGCCCCCTCCCTTCTAGCGACCCCCATTTCTTTCCTTTGCTCCTCCCTCCGCCTGGTCAGAGCATGAGAAAGGGCGGCAGGGGAACATGGGACCGCGGACTCCCACCCCGGGGGAAGACTTGGCCCGTCTCCACGCTCGCCTCCAGCGCGGGACCCCTTTGCACGGGAAGAGACGCCACTCACAGAACTCGGGAGTCTCATTGGGATCGGCGTCCCGGCAAGCCTTCCCAGCAGCCTCTGCGCCTCCCGTAAAGGGCCCGATCCAGGCTCACAGAAGGGAGAGGAAGCAGAAAAAGCCTCAACCCTCTTCCGACGACCGCCCAAGTCAACACGTGACATGTACTAAGTGGAAAAGCGCCGAGCATGCTCAGTTCCCTCCTGCTGCTGAGCGCGCCCCCTGGTGGACTCGGCGCGAAGTGTCAGGATTCCCCGAAAGGGCGGGAAAGAGGAGCTTCTGTAGGGGGAGGGCAGGGATGATGGGCATGGGAGTAGTAGTAAAGGCGTCGGCGTCTCCAGAGCCGGCAGCTTCTCCTTCTTCCTGTCCAGGAACCGTCTGTAGACATGGAGAGCAATCTCCCTTGAGGATTTGTACTCGCTTCCCTCAAGAACAACTGTCCTGAAAGCTCTGCAGAGATGGGAGAAACCTCAAAAAGGCCCAAATTCTGTCAGAAACGGCCAGGCGCTCAGAAGATGAGGACCAGGAGCTTCTCTGGGAAACACAAGTTGTGTGTTGCAGTTGTTACGAACTCCAGCCTGAAGGGGAGTCAGATGGGACACAGGCAGGGAAGCCGCAACTGGGAAAATGGAGATTTTTCCTGTGTTTCTGGTTCTCTGGTTCTTTATCCGCAGCTGCCCCTGTCCAAGTCTTGGCTTCGGCTGCCTCAGCATCACCCGGATGGCTAAACGGCTGCTCGTGCCCAAGGAAAGGATGCTGAGGTCCAAGAAAAAGCCACCCCAAAGTGGGGGGAAAGCTGAACCTGGTGTATATTCCAGAAATTTTACCTCACAAGGAGGCTCCTTGGAGGAGAAATGAAGGGGGGGAAATGGTGTCTCATCTGTGACTGCAGAAAAGATGGAACTGCAAAAGGGTGGAAAGCAAAGATGGAATAGAGAATATAACATTAAAACACCACGAGGGACAAAAAAGAAAAGGAAATATGAGGAGGAAATTTAAGACCTTTGTAGATGTCATTGACCCGTTGCAGCCCGGGTCTCAAGAGGAGGAAGAGTTGGAGCCCAGACCAATGGAAGGGGATGGAGCAGTCCCTATGGCCCATGAGGAATGGCCTGGGGACGAGGCAATCCCTAGGGCCTCCAAAGAGTAGGCAGGGAGGAAGAGAGGGTGAGGGCTGACCGAGCAAGGGGGAAGATGGAAAGGGCAGGCAGCGGAGCCGAGGAGCTCCAGAGACAAGCAAATGCCTCCCCTGCCTGAGCGTGGAGAATGGAGAGGAGGCAGAGTCAGCACAGGGCAAACCGACTATGCAGGCAGAGGGCACCCTGCCCCTCCTCATAAGGCTCACCTGGAGAGTAGCATTTAAACACTTGTCAAGTGTTTTTGATTGCACTCCTCTGGCTTTGACTGACCTTTTGCTTTGCTTCAAGGACTATCCTTCTCTTGCCCTAGCCTTGAAGACTTTGGAACTGCTTTTGCCTTGGACTCACCTTGTTTTATGGGCTGTTGTTTGTCTTGCCCCAGCCCTGAAGACTTTGCCTTTGAAACTACCATTGTCTTATGCCTGGACCTTTCCTTTGTGTGCCCTGAGAATTACCCTTGTCTTATTCCTGGACTTTTGCCTTGCAGACTTGCCAGGTAACCTATGGGCTGTTGTTGTTGGGACTGAGGGTGGAGCCTTACTGATTGGTGGAGGGCCATTTGTTGAACCATTCCCAAGAGAAATAAAGAACTGTCTAGAGCAGACATGTCAAACTCGTGACGTCACGTGACGTCGTGCAACATATCAGGATGGTTTTGCCATTGCCGGCAATGGGATGGGCGTCGTCCAGCCCGCGGGCCTGCAGTTTTGACACCCCTGGTCTAGAGGTTTCCATAACCGTGACCATCTGGGTCATAACAGTAATAACACTATTACTACTAATAATAATAATAGTTGGAAGGGACCTTGGAGGCCTTCTAGTCCAGCCCCCTGCTCTGGCAGGAAACCCTATACCAGACATGTCAAACACAAGGCCCGGGGGCCGGATGCGGCCCGCAAAGTGGTTTCATGTGGCCCGCGAAGCCATCCTGGAAACAGTGAGGGAACAGCCCCTGCTGCCTTGGCCCTGGCCCAGGCTGGTCGGGAGCCAATGTACAATTTTGTGGTGGGCATCCATGCTGAAACGCATTCAGTCTTAGCTCCACAAGGCCCTCTAGAAACAGCGAGGAACCAGCCCTTGCCGTGTCGGCCCCGCCCCCTGGGTGTCACCCTTTGTGAGGAATGAAGAAATGGCCCATGCCTTGGCGCTTGCCCCGGTCCCACCCCCTTCTGCCAGAGACCCTCAGATCTGTCCCACTCCTGCCCAGGCCCCCACAGGCACCCTTGACGAGAACAATGTAGAGCTGGCCATGCCCACCCAGTAGGGCACACCCACTCCATCCACGCCCAGCCAGTAGGCTGCACCCACCCTGGCCACCCCACCCCGAGGGCAACCATAATGCTGATGCGGCCCTCAATGAAATTGAGTTTGACACCCCTGCCCTATACCATTGCAGACAAACAATTGTCCAGTCTCTTCTTATTGTTCTGTCAGGAAATTTCTCCTTAGTTCTAGGTTGCTTCTCTGATTAGTTTCCATGCATTCATCCAGCTTTCCCCTTCTGCAAAACACTCCAGAGAAAGGGGAGCGGGGGCTGCAGCTGTTGTATATAGAACCATTGATGTACATTTTCATTTACATTAAATGTAGAGTTTTTCTTAGCCCTCATCTCACCACAGAAAGGTAAAATATCGTCTAATGCTCAGAAAGTCTTTTGAGCATACATTTCAGGGGCTTCTCGTCATTCTGGCTCATTTTTGTGGAGAGGAACTCTTCATCCTGAAAATTTCTTCATCCTGAAATTAATATCTATATGATTATTCTCTCACATCATGATAGGATTTTTGACCGAAAAAAGTTCCCTGCTTCTGTATTCAAACTGGATGACTTAGGTCTCTGTTTTTCACACTGGACAGTTCCAGAGGAAGTTCACATTCTCATTTCTGCTATAGAGGAAGAAAGATTTAAAGTTTTATCTTGAAGAGATGCATGAGGGAGATGCAGCTCCTTCTCCTTCTTGCAGAAGCAACACCTATTAATATCTGCCTGATCATATCCCTCACAGAGAAATCATTTTCCTGCTCAATACTGGGATACATTCTCAAGTGAGCCCCTTGACCAAACTGAATACACTGAGGTAGAGATTGTAAACCCAATGGGGTTTTTGTACCATTAAGTATAAGTTAGCACAGGGGTATCAAACTGTCGGCCCACGGGCCGGTTTCATCATACCGGAGCCGCACCCACCCGATTGCTGGCAATGGCAAAAAAGGTCCAATACGTCACGCGACGTCACATGACGTCGCGAGTTTGACATGCCTGAGTTAGCAGATCTGATGTTACATTGTTACCAGACGTTTCCTTTTTGAACATTCTTATAATTTAACACATATCCCAATACGTTTCCGGTTTCAACATCTTACAATTCATTATATAACTTCTACTGACAGCTATACAAAGCGTTAGGTGCAAAACAATAGCTACTTAAAATGCTCTATTCATAAAGTATCTTCTTTAGCATCACATTTACTTTGTCCTTTATATTTAGCTATAGGTTCTGCAAGTATTTCCTGATTTATGCCTTCCCCATAGTATGCCTGAAATGATATTTTGTTAACTAAGCCCTATGCTTACTCTCCAAAATTAACTTTCATTGGGGATTTATGCTTTATTATGATCCAGTCAAAAATAGGATAAACATGAAGAAACAAGATGTTCTCTTATTTATGTGAAATGGGATCACTGACCTTCAAATGACAGTAGCTAGAAAAATCCACTGTTTATAATGAAAACACCGCATGCCTAGCATTTGGTTTCCATCTGTATATTCATCTATCTTGGGCTTCACCTTGTGTTGGTCAGATTCAAAAAAAACCTTTCCTAATTCAGTAAATGTAATTAGAAAATGCATATATTTCAACAACTAAGCGTAACAGTGAAACAGAATTATATGGAACATTTGACCATTGGTCCCCTTGAAGATTTTTTCTTATTTCACACATATAGAGCTTCTACACTGTGTGGGTCATTTTATGGTAGTTAAGATAACTGTTCAAAATAAAACATTTTCCACACGTCAAGCATTTATAAGGCTTCTCCCTTATGTGGATCCTTTTATGCATGTAAAGAGAACTGTTTGTAGAAAAACTCTTTCCACATTCCATGCATTTATAAGGCTTTTCTCCTGTGTGGATCCTTTTATGGGTAGTAAGACTGCTGCTCTGAATAAAGTTCTTTCCGCATTCCATGCATTTATAGGGTTTCTCCCCGGTATGTATCCTACTATGGTAAATAAGTTGGCAGTTCTTAGTAAAGCTCTTTCCACACTCCATGCATTTATGTGGCTTTTCCCCTGTGTGGATCTTTTTATGGAAAATAAGGTCACTGCTCTTAGGGAAGCTCTTTCCACAATCAATGCATTTATAGGGCTTCTCTCCTGTGTGGATCCTTTTATGAACAGTAAGAGATGAATTTTCACAGAAGCTCTTTCCACACTTTGTGCACTTATATGGCTTCTCCCCTGTATGGATCCAGTAATGGGAAGTGAGAGAAGTACTAAAAGTGAAGCACTTTCCACACTCTATGCATTTATAGGGCTTCTCTCCTGTGTGAATCCTTTTATGCGTGTAAAGAGAACTGTTTGTAGAAAAACTCTTTCCACATTCCATGCATTTATAAGGCTTCTCCCTTGTGTGGGTCCTTTCATGTGTGTAAAGAAAACTATTTCTAGAAAAACTCTTTCCACATTCCATGCATTTATAAGGCTTTTCTCCTGTGTGGATCCTTTTATGGTAAGTAAGACCGCTGCTCTGACTAAAGTTCTTTCCACATTCCATGCATTTATAGGGCTTCTCCCGTGTATGGATCCTTTTATGGATATTAAGATACCTGTTCATAGAAAAACTCTTTCCACATTCCATGCATTTAAAAGGCTTCTCCCCGGTATGTATCCTACTATGGTAAATAAGTTGGCAGTTCTTAGTAAAGCTCTTTCCACACTCCATGCATTTATGTGGCTTTTCCCCTGTGTGGATCTTTTTATGAAAACTAAGGTCACCGCTCTTAGTGAAGCACTTTCCGCACTCCATGCATTTATAGGGCTTCTCTCCTGTGTGAATCCTTTTATGGGAAACAAGATCATTGCTATGAGCAAAGGCCTTTCCACACTCCATGTATTTATAGGGCTTCTCACCTGTGTGGATCCTTTTATGGGAAGTAAGACTACTGTTCTGAGTAAAGCTCTTCCCACAATCCATGCATTTATAGGGCTTCTCTCCTGTATGGATCCAGTAATGCGAAGTAAGAGCAGTACTAGAAGTAAAGTTCTTTCCACACTCCATGCATTTATAGGGCTTCTCTCCTGTGTGGGTCTTTTTTTGAGATGTACGGAACCCATTTCTATGAGAAAGAGACAAGGTCCATTTGTAATTTTTTCCATTGTCTCTACATATATAATCTTCTCCTTTGGNTCCTTTGGTTTGGGCTTGATAGTATTTATTTACATCTAATTTGTTTATGAATATCTTTATACGTTTTCCAATATATTTGTTTTTTATTTTTCCTTGTTGGGTCACTGGAGCTTTAGTTGGTGCATGAATAGAAGATGAATTGCAGTTATTTGACTGGTTTCTCTCACGGCTTTCTTCTTCCATTAGAACTGTGGTGTTCATCGTATGGTACCCACGAGTGATCATTTGGAGTAGTTCCCAGGATTCTTCATATTCCTCCTCATTACCTTCATAGGAAAATAAAAACAAACTTTAGGGGAAAAGAGCAAAACATAGGAAGTTTGAATATAATGAAAAAGAAATTGCTTCAATCTTCTCAGAGAAGCCTTTCAAGAATTTGATCTGGATTTTCTTGATTAAAATTTTGGAAGATAAATCTAGCGTTGTATGGCAAGGGAAAAACCATAGATTAAATTTCAAATTGTCCAAAATTCAAATAAAAGGGGAGGATTTATTTGGCCCTATTTGAAATTAGACTTTGTAGACTGCTATGTCGTTTGGATGAGAAACAAGTTGCTCAAAATTAAGAGAATGTTATAACTAGAAGGGCATGGCAGAGGTTTGCATGTCTTGGATCTTTGTTGTATGATAAATTTAGGCTCAATCTAGATTTTAAAACCATAATGTTAGATATACCACATTGAGAATATAAAATAGATATAAACTTAGGCTGTGTCCCAAAACATCTTAATGACTCTCTCCAGAAAAAAAGCAGGAAAAGACAGTGGATAACATGTCGAGAGCCATTAGAACTTGAGATGCGGGAATACCAAACTAAGTCAAGAATGGCAAAAGGATATAACTGTCAGTCGTTCTCATATTGTCAGATAGATTCCAGGTAGATGAATGTAAGTACAGTGTTCAACAACATAAAGCAGAATTTGAATCTCAGTTGTGTACAACAGGTGTGTAATTGTTAAAACCTCTAAACAGGCTGAAGAATATGAACAGAAAAATATTCAAAAGTAAATAAATGTACCTCAAACTAATATTGGAAATGTAGTCAAGATAAACAATCATTTTGTCGTGCTCTGGTGGACTTGTAAAAAAGCTAGAAAAATTTGAATTCAAAGACATTCAGTGATACAGAGAACTTTAAAAATGAATATCCAACTGTAATCAGAACAGTTTATGTTGGCACTAATCAACAGTCATTGAAGATTGTTTCGGAATATAACCATAATGAGACTATTATGTGCAAAACGCTGGAAGGGCTCTACATAACTAGAATGGTGGAATTGTTGGGGAAGATGATAGAATTCTCAATGATGACTAAATTGACTGATTAGGCAAAGGATACTATCTATATTTATTAGTGATTGAAAATCCCTGATGGACTTTTTGCTGAAAAAAAAATGAACTTGTGATCAAACTTGTGTTTCAAGATTAGAAAGCATAAATTATGTAAAGGAGGAAACAATGATGTAATCTTGGAAAGGAGACACCAATGATAACTTATTTATTACTTTTCTCTTTCTTTTTTTTTTTAATTTTACACTTTTTTCTTCTTCATTAATCACATTACTCTATCTTCTTTATTTCCTCTTCAGAACTTGCAGTTTTTATTCTGATAAAATGTCTTGCATATTCTTACCCAAAGAGGCCACGTTCCTATGATTTTCCAGCATGACTTCCCGATACAATGCTTTTTGGTCAGCATCCAGCTGAGACCACTCCTCATCGGAGAAATACACAGCCACCTCCTTAAAGGACACAAGACCCTCCTGAATGAGAAGAAAACAAGAAAAATCAAGAGGATTTTCAAGATCTGTCCTATTGTTTAAATGATTATAAGCAAAGATATACATTTCAGGTCATTCAGTGAAATGAATCACACTTTTCATCTGGATCTGTCTGTCTGTTGTCCCCATCGATCAGCAAGACTTTCAGCATCTGGAGAGCATCAACTGGAATGGGCCTTCGAATCCCCACCTATCAATCACTCCCATATACCCAGCGTTTGCAGAAGAAAATACAGGCGGAGGGATTCTTTTTACCATTTAAGTAAAAGCCTTGTGGTGTTTCCAGAACACAAAATCTTATGCATGCTCAAAACCTTCATTAAAGTTGTATGAGAGCTACCCAGGGATTTACATGGCTGTCATGAATAGACAAAGGCACACAAGCCCTGTTTCGGCTGCTCCTCAGATTACAAGGAATCCACTGCTTGTACCCCAACCCAATGGCTGAAGCTGCTTGGGAAGAGCATTCTCATCCTTTCCAAAGCTGGATTGTTTGGCCAAAATTCCAGGCACAAATTGGAGTATTAGAAATTCCTTTAAAGGCTGAAGGGCCTTGATCTGCCCACCCTCTTTGGATTTTAACAGTCTGCTTCATCTTTTAACCTGGTGCCATTATTTTTCTTATCACTGGCTATAAACAAGGCATTTTAGAAGCTGTAAGTGGCCAATGTGATTCCTTCAGTTATTATTGAGTAGCCTTGCACAATTCTAATTCAAAGAATTAATAAAAGGATCACTATTCAGCAAACACTAACTCTGAAAATTTTATTTTTTATTATCTCTCTTACTTGAGTTGCAGTTTCAATCACTCTTTCAGCAGCACTATAATAAGGAGTCAAATTCGTTCTATTCTTCCCTGTGAGGGAGACAGAATTTTTAAATGGATAATTAATAAAATAGCAGGAGGCATTCTACAGAAGAGAAGAGATAGAGAATGTAAGACAGCTGGGACCTCTCTTGGGAATTGGTGGACTTTTGATTACCATCTGAGATGTCCTGAGTTGCGGATTCCTGATAGATCCTTTTGGAAAACAGTTCCCAACGGGGATTTGATGAATTCCTGATTCTCGTAGGATCTCTGGTTTGCAGAGTGGAAGACTCGAAATAGGAGGAAGGAGAAAAGGAAAATAAATAAGACATCACAAAACATGAAGTGAATTCTTCTCTAAAAACAACTTCAATGCCCCAATATCTCTCAATGAGCTTAGAATGTAAGAAAGGAACAGATGCCTCCAGTCTACCTTCTAGAATGGATAATGGAACAATGTCCTGCAACAACTGGTGAAACATCTCCACATATTATGAAGAGCAGAAAAGTAGGGAAGGGAGGGGTGAAAAATTCAAATACATTATTCCCTTCTGGACTTCAAAGATGAAGGTCTCTCACCTGCAATTCGCCTTGATCCTTCTGCTCCTCTGCTTGACTCATGAGGAAGCCTTCTGCCAGGGCCACCGCTTGGAAGCTGGTCTCTGCTCCACATTCTCGCAACCAGTTTTCCATCTGGGGGGGGGGGAACAAAGGACAGAAAATAAATTCAAAGAATGAGAAGGTGGTGGACTTAACCACCGAACAACATTCATCTTTATGGAAGGGAGTTTTTCTGAGCTGGAAAAGGATTGCAATAGCAATAGCGAAAGCACTTAAGACTTATATAGCACTTCACTGTGCTTTACAGCCCTCTCTAAGGGGTCAGCATATTGCCCTGAACAATCTAGATCCTCGTTTTACCGACCTAGGAAGGATGGAAGGCTGAGTCAACCTTTCAGTGAGAATTTAACTGCCCAACTACTGGAAGGTGTCAATCAGCTGAAGTAGCCTGTAGTACTGCATTCTAACCTCTGGGTATTTCTGTGTCTGTCTGTCCATCAAGTGTGGTGAAAAATATGGTCCTAGCTTCCATCAAGACATGGAATATTTTATATTGGAATATAAAATATATGTTTTATATTTGGAGGATTTTCTATTTCCTTTTCCCCCAAAGTGTAGGCTAGCTGTTTTTCAAATTTAAGATCATATATACCCTACACTTAGAGATCATACACGATGCCAGAACTGAAGGAGCTTATTAAACTGGAATGGAACACAGAAATTGGACACGTTTCTTGTGCTTCATATTGAGACATTTAGGCATTAGACATTCATAAAGGATGTTCCCCACTCTTGTCTTTAAGTTTGTATGTCTGTAAGTAACTGGAACCACAGAAGAGGTAAGGAGGAAATTCCAAAAATAGCTCATCCCAAGAAAGAAAACTTTATCTTTTCTCAGGGGTCTTAGTGAGGAAAAGAAAGAAGACCCTAACATGGAATAATACTGAGAGAAAAGATTCTGAGAAGGAACAACTTTCAAACGATGCCATGAAGGTTGTGTTCACATCAAATGAAATGCAAAAGAAATGATCCTGGTTCAGGTTGCTCACTTTCTATTTTTCAGCACTTGCTTTTTGGGAACAAAGTCATACTACAACACAAAGGCTGCTCCACACAATTTGCCCTGACTCCAACCATACAGGCAAAGTTCACATGAAACACAGGGCTTGAAAGAATACACCTTAAAGTGATGTTCACCCACCCTCTTAAGCCTGGAGGATCTGATCCTAGTTTATTCTTTGTCTCCAGAACAAACACTAAAGATTTGCAGTTTACATATACAAAATGGAAAACCAAAGAAAGTACCAGGAAAACAGGGTGTCTAGTTTAACTAGCAAAAATCCATCCCCAAACAATAAAATAACAAGAAAATCTTAGAAACCACTAAAGTCAGGAAAGAAAATGGGGAATCCTGTTAGGTACTTTAATTTCTGTGCAGCTGGGACATGTTCTGATGAATCCTTCTTGATCAACTTGATAAACAAAGACTCAAAATACTGGACAAATACATTTAAATATGTTCTGGGTTTCTGTTTCCTAGTTATTTATTCTAATGATTTCAAAATAGAGTTAGGGTTACGAACAATCCTACAAACAAGAAATGTCTCAAGTCACAAAACTCCAATTGAGATGAGATCTACAGCATATAAATCTATTTAATGAGAATATGAATCAACTTTCGACAGCAGAACCCCATTAATCAGTCTGGCCCAAACCCCTTT